TATCACTGCTTCTACAATATATTTATCTGCTACTAAAATATTAAAACAGCAAGTAAATAGAGAAACTTAAGTTTCTTTCAAAAAGAATGTTTAAGGAAAAAGGCATAGCCATTTTTTTGTTGACATTTTTTTTAACTAATCTAAAAGACTAATTTTGTGTATTGCTTAAATTTTCATTTTTTGTACTTAATTTGTTTTAGGTTTAAACAAAATGAACTTCTAAGATATGCATGGAATATCCCAAAAGAGCTAAGGAAGGTTTTAAAATTCTTAAGAAAACTATTCAGAGCCAAAAACATAAAATAGTCTTCATGTCCAAAGTATAAATAGGTATAAATATTTAGATATTATGAGTGATTTTTTATTCTATAAAAGAACATAATTTGCTTCTAAATCACTACCTAATGAACTATATTATATAGTACAAAACTAAACAAGAATATCACATTATTCATGTTTTTTTTATTATGTATTTTACTCTTTAATAAACTATGTTTAAATTTTTATTTGAACCAAAATAAATTATAATTTTTATTTCAACTACAAAAACCCTCATAATATTAAAAAGGGGAAAAACCTTAGATTAGTTATGTTCAGGAATAAACTCTTTAAACATTTATCTACTTAAAATGTGTTACTTTTAGAAGGTATGTTATTAACTTTCTATTTGTATTTGTATTAATTTATTTCATTTTGTTATCTGTTGTATTTTCAAATTGATTTTGATATTAATCTTATCTATTTATATATTTTTTATATTCACATATATGTTTTTTTCATTGAAACAAACGTTTATTAGCTTATTAAATATAATGAATTCATGTTGTTTTATGAATGATTACTTTTATTTCCTTTTAAAAATGAATTTCGAAGATAAAGCCGAAACGGTGAGTGAGAATAAAAAATTAGACGAAAGTGACAATATTTGCTGGAGCTTTCATCTACACGCTCCTTTTTCTAGCCATCTACACCTGAGCCAGCAAGATTCGTCTTCCCTCCTTCCTTACATTCTCCAGATTTACAGAGAAAACGCCGTCCTCTTTAACATATCCAGACCTTTTACGGGGACTATACCACTACATTATCAGCTTTATTTGTTATCCCGAGCAATTTAAATGCATTCGTAATTGCTCATTCTCACCTCTTCTCTTGTAGATTCCGTACTCAGTTTTCATATTTTTAGTTACGTTTGCACTGCTCTTTCATTTTCACAGCTTTAATTCTATAATGCTGTAACGCTACAATATGGATCAATTTTTGTGGTTTATACTATTTAATGGTATTCGTAATTGACCAACCTATTATAATAATTAAAGATTATTGTATTGCAGGCCTGAAGATGTTCCTGTAAGGCCGAAACTAGTCGCTCCTGTATTTATTTATAATAAAATTGATTTTAAGGTTTTATTCTTCAATTGAAAAAATTAGACCTTTACAGTGATTTTGTTTCATTTCCTGCATTAGACACATATAAGACGGTAATCATTTTAAAAATAGTAAAATTAGCAAATTTTTTAGTTTTTTTTTTAAATTAAAACATTTGGACAATGTATGTTTTTATAGACAAATGATACACCACTGAACAAGAAGGATGCTTACCTTCCCCCTTGTGCCCGCTTCCTCACTTCCTCTACAGATGTTGCTAACACAACAATCGCCTACAAACTCGTTTTCACGCTCCCTCTATTAGTAATTGCTCGGAGATTTGTACATCCAAGATTTTATGAAACGATAGCTATTCAATTCAAAATTGTATCGCCATCTATAGTTAAAAAACTGAAATTCTGGACAAACTGAGTTTTGCAAGTCTGTTCCTCATTTAATGATCGGTTTATTGTGTGGCATATTAGGGTAACAGTTATAGCGGCAAGAAAGAAGCAAATATTACGTTTCACAGGTAAATGATAAACATCAATCGTTTTCACTTTATATATTTTCTTAATTTTTTCATTTTATAATATGTTATACAACTTGGTATTTACATATTGTACATGTCTCACTCCAAAGTAATAAATTTTACCCACCAAGTTTGTTTATTTTATGCTTTTCATTGATATTTAAGCAATTAATGATAATAAAATGGGCAAACATGTAATTTTTTCCAGTGGCGTATCGTACAATTCTAAATATTTTCTTTTAATAAATTCTAATTTACTTCTGCTTTTATTTAATTGCAGCAATGTTTGTTGTTTTATTTTAGATTTTAGATCCAGCAAAAAAATCTTTGAATTCAGACAACGAAAATTGCAAATTGGATGCCTACGCCAAATGATAGATTGTGTTCAAAACATTTTGAAAGATATTTTTTTATGGGGGGCACTGTAAAAGACTAAATGAAGCAGTTCCCACTATATTTCCTGAATTATCTAAATACATGCAGCCGAAGAAGGTGCGTATACCAATAAACATAATTAGACATAAATATTTTTTTAATTACTTTTCATTATTATGTTATGAACTTTTAAGAATTTAGCAACCCTTTTTTGTATAATTCAAAACATTACCGTAATAATTGGTTGTAGGATTAAAAAAAAGGGCATTGCATTTGGAAGCTGAGCCAGGCCCTTCAAATAGAACTTCAAATAAGGAATCTATCCTAGAAAGCCCTAGCATAAAACGGCTTCATGACCTACAAAACTGGATGTTTTAAAGACGTACAAAATTGGATGCCCTAAAGACGCCTTAAAATATCTTTTGGATATTAGCGTAGATCTTCAAAATGTCACGAACGTCGTTAACAAACGTATTTAAGATGTCTTTAAAACGTGTCTGTGCTATCTGGGTAGTGCCATTCTTTATTAACTAAAAATAAATCTTTTTGTAATAAATGTATATCATTGTTTTATTTTGCAGAATTAAAAAAAAAACACTCATTTTATTATTTAAACGATTTCATTCAGTTTGTTTCAATATGCAGGGTGTTAAAAAAAAGTGTCACAAAATGAAATGGTGAATAGTATGACCCAAAATAAGCAGAAAAGTCTTAATAAATATATGACCGCAAATTAACGGTTTCGGAGATACGGACCATTTTGTGTTTATAACAATTTTTTATTATTATAAAAAAACAATGATATTTATAAACAATCAATAACAACATAGAGTTAAATGAGATGTTCAAAGTGCCCTCCCTCCATTTTAATGCATTGCCATTTGCACGACCGTACATAAAATGCATGTCAGCTAATTCAATATTAGTGTAAACAGGCATAACGAAAATTTATAAAATTATTTACCCACAACAAAATAATAACTGCAAATAGTGTCTATGAAAAAACATCGGTAGACTCCGATAAGAAAAGCAAGTTTTTGAGAATGAAAAAAGATAATCAAAAAATGATACAAAACACAAAACACTCCGTATCTCTGAAACCATTCATTTGCGGACATATGTTTATTAAGACTTTTCTGCATATTTTGGCCCATATTACCCCCCGTTTTATTTTGTGACACTTTTTTTTAACACCCTGTATTTTTTCTTGTGTCTTATTTATTTAAAATTTTATGCTTTGGACTTGATTTATACCTAAAAAGATCAATGAAGTACTAATAACATATATACAAGTTCGTTTTTTTATTTCCAACATGTTACGCCTTTGGTCGAATATCGTTGGTGTCAGAATGGAACAAGATTTCCAGCGACGTTATGAGTCCTCTCTTTAATACCTAGTCTAAGGGTCAAATACGTCGATGTGAATTTTTGACGCAAAAGTAACGTAATACTGACGTCATTTTCGGACCAATTTACGTAAACACAGTAGTTGCGATAAAAATAAACCTATTTTTATTATTAATGCACTGCGTGTTTTTGTTATTCATTATTAAATAAATAGAAGGTAATAGGCCTTTTCATAACATTTTTTTTGTGCGCATGCGTCAGTATCAGCCGTCTTTTTCGTACTGTTTTTTGTAAACAAGCATATTAAAATGTCCACATGACAAAAAAATAATCGATAAATATTAATTTTACGTGTATTCGTTTAAAAAATGGGATAAAAAGAGTAAAGTAATAAGTGTCTTAATTGAAAAATCAATTTTGGCAATCAATTAATTATGTTATCTTTACGGAAAGAAAAAACTAAACGGTATTGTTATGAGTATGTAAAAGTGACACACAGTATAAATTATTATTTTATAAAAAGACTTGCCTGCAATATCGTAAAAAAACTGTTAAATCATTAGTCAAAATACATATTAAATCATGTTCAAAATAAGCATTATGAGTGAAAAAATGTCAAAGTGTCAAAGGTTTTCGATCGATTGATGGATGATGTTACTAAAGATACTTATATTTGTTCACTACATTTTCACGGAGAAAGCTAGTGGTTCAACAAAAGAAAATCCTTGTCTGGTATTACACAATATTTGAAAATATTAAAAATGTCATGTTGATCCTTAAAATTTTAAATAATTTATCTTATTAATTGAATCGGTGAAAACAAGAACAGTCCAATTCCAAATAAAACATTTTGAACTGAGATAGCCATTTTGTTTTTAATACAAGGCTTCATCGAATGAGTGCAAAAACAGTACTAATATCACTATATTAAGGCGTATGGCAACGCTTATCGTAAAGCATTGAGCGTAAGAACAGTACAAGTCCGGACTTGTACGGTTCTTATTCTCAGCGGAGATATTTGTTGACATGCAATCGTAATCACAGCCAGCTGTTTTAGTTTGTTTTCGTTGATGCTCGATGTATTTGTTGTTTGTGTGGATAGTTATTTTAATAAAATATATTGATAAAACGAAATAAAACGATGTCATCAGATGATAGTAGCTCGGCAGAATCTGAAAGTGAGAGAACTGAAGGTAAAAAACGTACCAGAAATCCTGAAAAATGGAAAGTTAACAAGAAGAAACTTGCACGTCAAGTAGGAAAAGCGTATATATCTACATCTGGGAAGTTTGTGGAAGCAAAAAGATTGGACCCCCATGCACGTAAGTTTTTATTGCTCATTATTGTTTTTAACTGGCAAAAGTGCGTTTTACTTTTGTAGGTGCAAACTAAAATGTACAAGCAAATTTAATGACGAAGAAAAACAGCTAATATTTTCTAAATTATATAACGGAAAGCCAAAAAACGCAGAGGACACTTTCCTTCAAGATTTAATGGAAACAAAAGCCATTGTAAGACGTCGCAAACGAGTTGCCGATGGCGATGAACTCAATGCAAAGCCGAGAACTGCACATTTTCAATACTTTGTTCAAAAAATTGAAGAACAAGTGCCGGTATGTAAACAGGCTTTTCTCAATTTGTATGCCATATCTCACTTCCGTGTACAACGCCTAAATATGTTGCTCAGTAAAGGAGAATCTCCTAAAGACATGCGTGGAAAGCACAACACCAGACCTACCTCAGTTACTGCCGAAACCAGGACTAAAATGCAAATGCATATCGATTCCTTTCCATATAAAATTTCACATTATGGTGAAAGACATTAAATATTTGGACTCCAAATTTTGTTCGACCTTTTTATCAAGAAACACCCTGAATTGAATAACAATGTTAAATATGAGTTCTTTTTAAAATATTTCAATGAAAATTACTCCTTAAAGTTTGGCAGACCACAAGTCGATGTCTGTAGCGAATGCGAACGACTTGGTACGAGATTAAGAGATAAAAGTTTAAACGACAATGCCAAAGGGGTGTGTGCAGCAGAGCTTATGGTCCACAAACGAAGGGGCAACAAATTTTATAGTAAATTGCAAGAAGTACAGGCACTGTCCAAGGACCATCCTGAGATATTAGGAATCACGTTTGATTACATGCAGAATTTGCCCCTCCCAGTTTTACCTGTGCAGGAAATATTTTATTACACGCAGCTTTGGGTTTATGTATTTGAAATCCATAACTTGCGAGCAGGCGATGGCCATTTTTATATGTACCATGAGGGTCAAGCCCTAAAGGGCTCCAATGGGGTGTGTACCTTTTTGAACGATTATATTTCAAATCATATACCCCAAGAAGTTAAAGAATTGCACATTTTTTCTGACGCATGTCCAGGACAGAATAAAAATAACACCCTGGTTAGATTTTTAATAACTCTACAAATTAATCGGAGTATTAAAAAAATTTACCACCACTTCCCAATTCGCGGCCACTCTTTTTTGCCTTGCGACAGGGATTTCGGAAGTGCAAAAAGATTGATCAGAAAATGTGATCGTATTTACGTTCCTGAGGAATACGAGGATATGATTAAAAATTCATTTCTTACAACGATATACTAGATTTTAAAAACTGGTGGCCAACCTTCTATAAAAAAACTTCCACAAATCTATCAAATAGGGAAAAGGAAAATTTTACTTATCCCGGCTATGTTAAGTGCCTCGATTTTATTGACGGAGCTTTATCCTACACTTTTAAGCTACTAAAACAAAATCAGAATCCAGAGGTTCCATCTTCTAAAGCCTATTCTGGGCCAGTGCCAATCAACGTTAAAAAGATGAACGATATAAGGCAGATCAAGAAATATGTAGAGGGAGAGCAGCTGGAGTTTTATTACCACATTATTTCATGGCCAACAACAAACAAAGACGATGATAATCATTAAAATTTATTATTCTGTATTTTGGTATTATAATAAAAGTGTGTTTTGATATGTTGTTTTTTATTAAAAAAAAAACTTGGTCAAGTATTTTAACAATAACGCAGATTGAGATTAAGAACAGTACAAGTCCAAGTTAGTTATTTGTGTATAAGTGAAAAAATCATGAACAAACAAATTTTATTTTTAGTTTAAACGACGTATAAAATGATACACTAAAACTATTATATGCACGCGAAACTCGTAAAATTAATAACTAACTTGTCAGAGAGTTTTTTCGTTTTCCCAAAATTGCAACATTTGGACTTGTACTGTTCTTATTCTCACCGATTCAATTATACTCGTGATTAACTTTCATGTTAAGGTGTTCTTGCAATTTTTAATAGTTGATTGCCATAATTAATTAGAATAGAGTTATAATTAATATTTGTTTGCATTAATTTGATCCACAGTTAATAAGTATTGAAACATAACCTCTTAATCACCACATTTTTTTCCTTGTTACGAACGTCCACGTCACTTCAAGAACCTTTTTAATTGCTCACAACTATGTGCTTTCAGAGAGTTATAAAAATGTAAATCACCATCAACGATTTTTTCTGATTGATTTGTATGTAGAGATAATATTGCTTTTCCAGTCATTGTTGATCAAAACAGTACGAAACTTTTGAATTGGCGCTATTTCAACATAGCGGCTGCGCTTGCGCTCATCACATGCTAAAAAGGCCTATTAATATAACATCGTTTTTTTTTAGCAGTCATGTGATATCACATACTATCAAAGTATGTGTGTGATATCAAAATAAGACATACCATGACGTCATTTAGGGACCAGTTTATCACGTTCCGAAATGAGGCGTAAAACTACGCACGTACACGTCCATTCTATGCCGCCATTGTTTTACATTATATTTATTTTTAGCACATACTTTGATTTTCTTTTACTATACGGAGAATGGTCGCACTGCGCAGCTTTCTGAGTGCCTTTTAAAAGGAGATAGAAAACTCCGCCATTTTGAACCCTTATTACGTGCTATCTCACAAATATTATTAATAAAAAGAGTTCAGAATTTCGAAAGTTTAAAGTTAGGACAATAGCTTGTTTTTCTGTATAAACAGTAACACTGAAATAAATTGATAAACTTTTTTGTTAATGCTTTAAACTAAATCAGGTTGACTAAACACACCTTGTTTAAATTAGTAAATGGCTTTTATTGTTGAAAATTTTTTAAATTTGTTTTGGATTAAGTACCAAAATTATAGCAGCAGTACTCAGCGGTTGAGTGCCAATTGAGCGCGTCTCCGGGTGGTGGATAGGAGGACGGCCAAGTTTTCCTTGGTTAGTGGTAGGCATAAGTAGAGTGCGAGAGCCTAAAAACCCTCAAAATCTTTTGCGAAGGCTACCGCCGCGAACCAACTCCCCTAATCTAAGGTGTATGGTAACGTGCCAACGGATGAATTGTCGCAGGGGTATATGCTGCAGCAAACGCTCCCCTGAGGGAACCTGGCGAAACCTTCTTGTATCTAGCCTTGCCGGCGCATGCGGGGCTCTACGTCGGTCGACCTTTCCTTCCCTAGCTACTCGTGGGAACCATATGGATTCACAAATACAAAAACAAAAACCCAAAGAGGCTGGACGTCAACGCTCACCTCCAGCAAAAGAGACTGGACACCAAAGTCCAACTCCGGCGCAGGAGGCTGGACAGCGACGCCCACCTTCAAAAAAGGAGGATGGACACAGTAGTTCACCTCCAACTAACAGACCCCGGAGAGGCAAAAGAATCTCTGGGTCTGAAGCAAAGAGGAGGAAGAGGGATAAGCTGCAGACAGACAGTGCTACGGCAACCGCCACCCTCAGCAAACTCCCTCACTCCAAACAAAAAAGCGGCCTAATTAAGTCCCTAGACAGCGACGCTAGTTCTGCCTCCACAAGAGGTCAGGAACACGACGCAACTAGGGACAAGAAAAGGCCGCGATCTCACACCTCTTCCGAGGTTACGCCCCGCAAGGGGAAAAACCCAGACAGGACCACAAAGTTCTATCTGGGTTAAGCTACAAGGATGCAGCTACGAGCCACCTGAAAGTAGCTATAATAGACAAGGATAACCATTACGGTAAGATAACTACCGAAAGAGAAATCCTTGTCAAAAAGACATTGATGGGAAAGCTGGACAAAACAATTTTGTCCGCCTTCTGCAGCAAAACCAAGCCACCCACCTTTAGGTCTTGGACGCAGTCTGGTGAAATCATCATAGTAACGTGCGACGATGACCTGACGTTGGAATGGCTAAAAACCAAGATAGCAATCTTAAAAACATGGGAAGGAGCGACACTCGCTATTGTGAGGATGGACGAGCTCCCCAAGCTCATCAAAGCCTCTCTCTGGATCACAGGGGAAGCGCAAGCTGACCTTGACGAGGAGGTTGTGCTCAGGCGACTTGAGGGGCAAAACCCAAACTTATATGTGGCGAAGTGGTGCACCTTCCACCATGAAATAAAAAAAGACCCCAAGGGTCATCTCTTCATCTTCGGCATCGGAGACGAAGACATGGGAACCCTTAAGGCCAAATCAATGAGGATAAGCTATGCGTTCACCTCATTGACTATAAGGCCAAAGGTAGAAAAAGAGGCTGAAGCGGGGCCCAGTGAAAACTCCTTGGTAAAGGACCCTCTTCCCCCCCAATTCAAGCCAACAGTGGAGGACGTCGAGCCAGAAAAAATGGTAATCGATGACCTCTAGCATAAAAACTCTGAGGAGCCACAAGAGACCAACCCCTCCCCACTTTCGGAGGAAGGAATGGTCGAATAAAAAAAAACACCTTCTGTCCAATTTTTAACGGAAGACCGGGAAGCAATAAAAGAGGTAACTATCATACAATGTAACTTGCAGCACAAAAGGGTGGCTACGGCAACATTATGCCGCCACCTTGATGAGCTGCAAGATATAATAGCACTCATCCAGGAACCCTTAAAAATCTAAATGGTTCAATTTTTAGCTTTCCCAGCAACCAACAACCTAGGACAGCCATTTACATTCTTAGGAAATACAGAGACTACTCAATGGCGCACCTTTCCACCTCCGATTTAACTGCGGTTAGGATGGAATACGCCATCAAAAGGGAAAAGAAAACGTTAATCCTGGCATCTGCATACCTCCCTTCCGATGCAACTATGCCACCACCCAGCAAAGAAATGGAGGATCTGATTGCATACTGCCTGGAACAGAAGTTTGAGCTAGTAATAGGTTGCGACTCAAACGCTCATCACTTCAGTTGGGGCAGTAAGGATAATAACGCTAGAGGTAAGTCACTTTATGATTATATAATTACCAAAAATCTTTGCATTTTAAATAAAGGTACTACACCAACATTTCTAAACTCTCGCAGTCAAACACTAATAGATATCACTTTATCCACAACTGGTATCTACAAATCAATTCAAAACTGGCATGTGTCTGATAACATTTCGATGTCAGACCACCGCTGGTTAACATTCAAAATAAACTTGATGTTGCCGACCCATACGCTATCTCGAAACCCTAGGAAGACGGACAGGGCAATCTATGCCCACCTTCTCCAAGAGGCTCTAAGAGAGATGGAGGCCGAAACACCAAACAATAACAATGCTTTGGAGAAGTACTCAAACACTATCCAAAGCACAATAAACAATGCCTATAAGAAATCCTGTCCCCTGAGGCTAATCCAACACGATCAGACGACTACCGCATGGTGGTGTCACGAGTTGGATCACCTCAGGAAGATGGCTGGGAAATCCTTTAATAAGGCAAGAACCACAAAACTCAAAGAGAACTGGGATACCTACAACTCTCACCTCAGAGAATACAAAAAAGTCGTCAGACAAAAACATAGAGATGCATGGAGATCCAACTGCGAAGAAATCGAAGATTTCCCGCAGGCAGCGAGGCTTCAAAAGGCTCTTTCAA